ATGGCACATGAACTAGCAGACAGACCCTGGGAGAAGGTAGGAGTTGATGTACTGACCTACAAAGGGACTGACTACCTCATTACGGTAGATTATTACAGCAATTACTGGGAAATTGACAGACTTGAAAACACTAAAGCCTCAACAATAATAAGGAAGTTCAAGGCACACTTTGCAAGGTTTGGCATACCGTCCATACTTGTAACAGACAACTGTCCAAATCTCGTAGCCGATACAGTCCAAAGATTCACTAAGGAATGGGATATWGAGCATACCCCAAGCTCTCCTCATCACATTCAATCAAATGGTAAGATCGAAGCTGCAGTCAAGGCAGCGAAAAGAATGCTCCGTAAGACAGGCAAGACTCGGGAAGACCAATATCTTGCACTACTTGCCATACGAAATACGCCGTCACAAGGAGTGGGAAGGAGTCCAGTACAGCGCTTAATGAATAGACGAACAAGAACCACGCTGCCAACAACGGAGATACTATTACAGCCCAAAGTCGTCAAGAAAGAAGCGGAACATTCAAAACTCAGAAACATTCAACAAAGACAGGCGCTCTACTATAACAGAAGAACGAAGGACCTCACACCTCTACAAGAAGGACAAGCAGTAAGGATGAAGCCTTTCACCCTTGGAGATAAGGCATGGCAGAAAGAAACAGTGCAAACCAAGCTAGACGACAGATCTTACTTAGTAGCAAACGAAGAAGGGACAGTGTATCGTCGCAACCGAGTACATCTAAAGAGCACAAAAGAATCCTCAGGAAGAAGCAAAGACACTGAGGGACAACAGTCCCCCAGTAAGAACACACCTGGCAATGATGAACATGTAACACAACATAATGAAGCTGGTCAGGAGGACAGAAGACAGGAGAACAACACACAGGTGACAAGATCTGGCCGTGTAGTTAGAAAGCCAGCATATCTAAGTGACTACCAAACATGAACAAAAAAAAACACAATCAGTATCGAACAGTTGCATGAGGCACGAACTCAACTATGATGTTTTGTTGTTATATAAAAAAGAAAAAAGAAAAAATAAAAAGGGGGGGGGAGGATGTGACAATATCAGCGTTGCGTAACAAAAGCCCCGTATGTAAAACGTTGTTGCTACGTTGTTGAACTCCTTGTGAAATCTTGGTGCAGTTAATACTTTGTACTCGTCTGATTAAAACTGCTTTAAAGTACTCCTAGGTTGATCAAATCTTGTTACAATCAGCGTTCACCTCGTCAAATAGAGTCTTTTGTGATGTGCAAGAAGTGGTGAGACTTGTGTCATCAGCATACATTCTAGCATTTGAAAATTTGACACTATTTGGCAGATCGTTTATGTAAATAATAAATGATAATGACCCAAGGATTGAGCCTTGAGGGATGCCGCAATCGAGTGTTCTAGAGCTAGATAAGGTATGGTTTATGTAGCATCTCTGACTACGATCTGTGAGGTAAGATTTGAACCACTTTATCGACTCTTCTGCAATCCCATAATAGTATAATATTTGGAGAAGTATAGAGTGATTTACTGTGTCATAAGCTTTTTTAAAATCTAGGAAAGTGACACAGTTCAATTTACCTTCATCCATATTGGTAAGCCACTCMGTTGTGGCTTCTAGGAGTGCAGTAGTAGTCGAATGAAGCGGTTTAAATCTCGACTGCTTTTGAGAAAGTAAATTATTTGAGTTTAGATACTCATATAACTGGTTAAAAACTATTCTCTCGAAAATCTTAGCAATAGTAGGTAAGACCGAAATGGGACGGTAATTATTCAAATCATCTTTGTCATTAGCTTTATGAATTGGCGTAACTTTCGCAAGTTTCAAGCCGTTAGGAAAAATCCCTTTATCAACTGATTGATTGAATAGCTTCACTAGTGATTGGTTTATTACTGGTGAAGCAATCTTGATGAAATGAGATGGTATACCGTCAAGACCTGTTGCTTTTTTAATGTCAATAGAATTTATGATTTTCGTAAGTTCATCAACTGATGTGTGTCGTAAGGTGAATGTTGAGCCCATTCTAATTAAATAATCATTATAAGCAGTCGGTCCATCGGGAATTAAACAAGCT